CTCTCCCCAAAAGCGGAGAGGCTCAGGGGGAAAGGGGCCATGTCTGCCCGCCTCCCCTTCTCCTCTCCAGCCAACCCACCACGGCAGGCTGGCTGGAGACGGGAAGGGCAGGGAGGCAGACATGCCTGGGTTCCCTGCCCGATCTGTCCGGAGAAGATCTCCCTGCCTGGAGAAGATCGGGCTGGGAACCCAGGCATTTAAATCCCCCCCCCCCCGGGCCCCTCCCCAAAAGGTGGAGAGGCTCAGGGGGAAAGGCAGGCATTTCTGCTTGCCTCTCCTTCCCCTCTCCAGCCAACCCGCCATGGTGGACTGGCTGCAGAGGGGAAGGGCAGGGAACCCAGGCATTTAAAACCCCCCCCCCCCAGTCTCTCCACTCTGGGGCGCTCTGGCAGGAAATGGCCCCTGATCTCACAATGGATAGGGCTGAATTTATTAGAGAAGAGCTGCAGCAGAAACACATTCACCACATACGTTTTCCAGAGAGTTCCAACGCATGCAATACATAACGTATTTTTATTCCACTTCCCCCCGCAATATTAAAACATCATTCTCCCTTCTTAGTTTTATCACCACAACGGCAAGCCAGTGAAGTAGGTTAAGCAGAGAGTATCAAAGTGGGACCCACATATCTTCGGGACCGCCTCCTCCGGCATGTCCCCAGGAGAGTGTTTCGGTCCACTGAGAACAACCTGCTGGTGATCCCCAGACCCAAAGATATTGTCAGGTAGCCCTGTCATAGTTCTGGAATGTGGAGGGGTACCCTCTTTCTCATTCTCAGCTCTATCCTGCTCAGCTATCTTATGCTTGATCTTGTAGATGTTCCAGCTGCAGTTTCCACGGCTGGGAAAGTTAACGGCTTTTCTCCTATGCCTGCGTGCGAGATATATCCATTGGCTCATGCTTACAGGGGGAATGTTTAATTTCACTATAAGTCAGAGGCCCTAGTACTGACGGCCATTCCTGACACAAGCTGTACACGTGTTCTTTAGTACTGGATCCACTAATAAACAGCTATCTTCTTATGAAGCCATGTGTGGTGTGACCTGACTAAGGAGTCTGACAGATATCCGGCTGTCCTCGACCAGAGCCAGGGCATTTTCGGTCCTGGCTCTGACCTGGTGGAACTCTCTGCTGAACAGTAACCAGGGCCCTGCAGCACTTGGTGCAATTCCGCAGGGCCTGTAAGGTAGAGATGTTCCACCAGGCTTTTGGTGGAGGGCAGCAATGGTTTTTCCATCATAGCTGGCGCCCTCCCAGTTTGGTGTAGTGGTTAAGAGCACCGAACTCTCATTTGGAGAACTGGGTTTGATTTCCCACTCCTTCACAAGCAGCCAGCTGGGTGACCTCCGCTCAGTCACAGTTCTCTCAGAGCTATCTCAGTCCCACCTACCTCACAGGGTGTCTGTTGTGGCAAAAAAAAGGGGGGTATAAAATCCAACTCTTCTTCTTTCTCCGTTCTTCCATCTTTTTAGTGTTTCCCTCCTCGTGATTCACCTGCGAGGCAGCAACATGGTCCAGAATGGGTTTTTAAGGATCAGATTAAGTACGCTATCTTGAAACTATTTAAAGAATTTATTGAATCTATGAATTTTAACTTGTGGTACTTGATTTTGACGTCTGTTGTACATTGCTCAGAGCGCCGTGTACACAGGGATTGGGCAATTTACAAATCTAAAATAAACAAATAAATAAAAAACTGACCCAAGGTTACCCAGCAAACTTCCATGACAGAGTGGATATTCAAACGTCGATCTAACCACTGCACGGGACTGGGCAGAAGGGAAGCCGTATATCCAAATTTATATGCATGTGACCTCATGCCAAGATGCATCCACTTCCTGCTCAGAGATTTGACTTCCCGTAGTGCCTTCCTGAAGGACTGCTGTGGCCCAAGTGGTTAAGACGCTGAACTGCAGACCGGAAGATCGATAGTTCGACAGTTTGAGACCCGAGTGCCGCATGACGGAGTGAGCTTCTGTCCCTGGCCCCAGCTCCTGCCAACCTAGCAGTTCGAAAGCAAGAAATTGCAAGTAGACTGTGACAGCAGCCATGAAATTAAAAGACGCCTGCTCCTTGGGAGGAAAGTGATGGCGAACCTAAACAGCATGATAAAAAGTAGAGACATCATCCTGCCAACAAAAGTCCGTATGGTCAAAGCAATGATATTCCCAGTAGTCACGTATGGCTGCGAGAGTTGGACTATAAGGAAGGCCGAGCGCCAAAGAATAGATTCTTTTGAACTATGGTGCTGGAGAAGACTCTTGAGAGTCCCCTGGACTGCAAGAAGATCAAATCAGTAAATCCTAAAAGAAACCAACCCTGACTGTTCCCTGGAAGGCCAGATACTGAAGCTGAAGCTCAAATACTTTGGCCACCCAATGAGAAGGGAGCACTCACTGGAGAAGACCCTGAGGCTGGGAAAGATTGAAGGTCAAAGAAGACGGGGATGGCAAAGGATGAGATGGTTAGACAGTGTCACAGATGCAACGAACATGAAATTGAGCAAACTTCAGAGGACGGCGGAAGACAGGAGGGCCTGGCGGGATCTGGTCAATAGGGTCACGAAGAGTCGGACTCGACTGTGCGACTGAAAAACAAAAAAAAATAATAATAGGTACCGCTTCGGTGGGAAGGTTGTGTTCCGTGCACCTCGGCCACATGACCACAGAAATGTCTTTGGACAGAGCTGGCTCTTCGGCTTGGAAACAGAGATGGGCACTACATCCCTAGAGCCGGATTTGACTGGCTTTCGCGCAAGGGAAACCTAGTGCCATCCTAAAGCCGAATGACACCTTTCTAAGCAAGGGCTACCAACCTCCAGATGGGGCTTGGAGCTCTGAAATTACAACTGAGCTCCAGACTACAGTTCCCCTGGAGGAAATATCATCTTCAGAGGGTGAACTATATATCTGGCACCACATTGCCACGATGCTCCTTCCCCTTCCCAGACGCTGTCCTCTCCAGGAACCACTCCCACATCTCCAAAAATTTCTCTAACTGTTGTTGGCAACCCTGTTTGAAGGCCACTGACTTCCATGGGTTGAGGAGGGTGTAACTTTGTCTGGGATGATACTGCTGAAGACTTGGGAGTTTGAACCCCAAATAGCTGTGGTCGGGCAAGGTGAGAGGCCGCCGGAGGCAGGGCCTTGTCAGGGGTGACACCTCAACTGCCCACAGCAAGATGCCACACTCTTATCTAATTTTATTTAGAAGAGATTGGATTCATTCATACCCCGCTCTTCACTCGAAGTCTCAGAGCGGCTTACAAATTCCTTTCCCTTCCCCTCCTCACAACAGCCACCCTGTGAGGTAGGTGTGGCTGAGAGGGCCCTGACAGAAACTGTCCTTGAGAGAACAGCTCTGACAGAACTATGGCTTGCCCAAGGTCATCCAGCAGCTGCAGCTGCAAGTGGGGAATCAAACTCGGCTCACTCAGATTAGAGTCTGCTCACTTTACCACTATACCAAACTGGCTCTTTATTTATTTACTTAATTTACACCTGGACTTTTCCCCCAGTGGGGAACCAAAGCTGCTTCCGTGTTTTCCCCTCCTCCATGGCTGGCCATGATTTAATAGCCCACGGTTGGTTACCCAGCAAGCTTCCATGGCAGAGCAGGGATTTGACCCTGGGTCTTCCAGGTACTAGTCTGCCACTCTAACCATTGCACCACGGTGCTTTTCCTTAGGGGTGGCTGTGTTTTGCTGGCCTTACTGATTTTTATGTCCATTTCTCTGATGTTTTGATTATTGGATTTTATTTGGTATTTTCAGACTGTTTTGATGGGTTTTTTTGAAATCTGTATGTTTAAATTCATACACTTGTATCATTTGCAGTAAGTCACCTCAGGAAACACTCACATGTCTTAAATAAATAAGCCGTAGCTAGGGTTGCCAGTTCTGGGTTGGGAAATTCCTGGACACGTTAGGGGTGGTTTGGGTAGAGTGGGGTTTGGGCAGGGGAGAAACTTCAGCAGAATAATAAGATAAGAGATTGGATTTATAACCCACCCTTCACTGGGAGTCTCAGAGCAGTTTACAAACTCCTTCCCCTTCCCACAACAGGCACCCTGTGAGGTAGGTGGGGCTGAGAGAGCTCTTTCGAGAACTGCCCTTGAGAGAATAGCTCTGACAGAACTGTGGCTTGCCCAAGGTCATCCAGCAGCTGCAAGTGGAGGAGTGGGGCATCAAACCCAGTTCTCCCAGAGTAGAGTCCGCGCACTTAACCACGACACCAAACTGGCTCTCAATTAGCATACAGTAGCATTGAGTCCACCTTCCCAAGCAGCCGTTTTCTCCAGAGGAACTGATCTTTGTCACCTGGAGATCAGCTGAAATCCCAGGAACTCCCCAGCCACCACCTGGAGGCTGGCAACCCAAACGGCAGCGGCGCGCGGTGCGAAAACGCAGGAGGAGGAAAAAGCATCTCTCAAAAAGGCAAAATAAAACTGGTGACCAGAAAATGGGTACTGCCCGTGGCAAACAGAAATGGCTGGAGGGTCTGGTCTGCGCCTCCTTGGTCCCACAGAAAAGCCCGTTGCCCGTGAGCGCCCTTCTGGGGTCCGCTCTGCGCCTTTTGCTTCGACGCCATAAGCGAGCCCACCACGGACGCCATCTTTGCTGCTGGCATCCTCCCACCGTCCGGCCTCCACTCCGAAACACCGGTTACGTCTCTTTCGCTCGACGGCAAGTTAAGTTATGCCGCATCCCACCCGAAAGCGCAAACCCGCCGTTGAGAGAGAGAGAGAGCGAGCGCGCGACGGGTGGACGCCGGCGGCGGAAGAGAAAACTGGCGCCCGTAATAAAGTTGGCGCCCAAGGGCAAAATCCCCACGATTTCGTGCCCCTGACGCATAATGGCGGCTTCCGCGCCCTTTCCCTCCCTGCGTCGCTTCACGGTGACGCCATTTCGAAGCGTCGCAGATATAGGTCTCTAGCGGGCGCCTCCGGTTTCTATGGTAACCGGGCCTTCTCCGCGGACAGCTCTCCTCAGGCGCCGTTGATCGGGATGTTCGGGGACTCGGCAGTGAGTGGGGCTGATGTAGAGTCGGTGTGGCGGAAAGGCTGGGGGGCCCGCTGCGAGGAGGTGAGAGGACTTTTCTCCAGGGGGAGGGAGGCTGGTCAGGCTGCATTTGCGGCGGTTAACCTGATAGCGAACGATGGAACCTCCATGTGCCGAGGCAGTCTACCTCTGGGTGGCAGTTGCTGGGGAGGAGAGAGGTTAGGAAAAGGCTTTTGTGGCTTTTGTAGCTTGTGGGTTACCAGGAGCATCTGGGTGGCCCCTGTTGCTATCAGGATGCTTTGGCTTAGATGGACTTTTGTTCTGACGGCGCAAAGTAGTTCTGATGTTTATTGATTTGTTGCATTTCTCCCCCTGCTTCCCCCCCCCCTCCCAGCCATATTGACTGCCAAAGTTACTAACAATTTAAATGTCCCTGTAAAAGGTTAGGTACATTTGAGTGACAAAAAAACTAGCAAAACAACTGTGTGCTATATTTCCCGCAACATATTCATAAAGGAGAGTTCATTAAAGTATAATATATCTATTATATGCAGTCAATATGCCCATACAATCCATCATAGGAAAATACAGAGGCCAAAGAGTAATAAATATATAAATAAATAAATACACAGAATTATATGTAGAAAGTCTAACACTTTCCCCAGGTAACTTTTCAGTGTTTCAGACCTCTTGGTCCTTCCTCAGGAACAAAGAACCACTGCTGAGAATCCCGTTTCAGTTCCTTACAAGGGCCCCGTTCACACGGAGCATTTGCCGCGCTAAAGATACGGATGATAGGTGGATTTTCTGGGCGCGATCACACCGCAACATCTGGGAAGCGTAGTGCACCCGTGGCTAACCCGTGGCTTCTTGCCAAAGATACAGAGTAAAAAACTAGTACGTACGATGTGCTAGTTTCTGGAAAACGCGGGGCAAGGGCGGGCGTCTGATTGCCTTTCTGCTGGAATCCTGTGGCATCCGGCGCCCGCCCATGTCCTGTTGCAAACCGGATGTTGTTGTTTTTTTAAGTCTCCACAGGATGCGCACAAACGCCCACCGGCACATGCGCAAACTGTGGTGAGGGAAAAAAATTCCCGTTTGCCACGGAAGCGGCGCCTAGCGATTGCCGGTGTGAACACGCCGCACCGCTTCTTTGCTGCGCTGCAGGGTAGCCGTGTGATTGGCACCTAACGGCATGCCCACGGGACCTCCACGGGGCATGTGATCGGGCTGCCGCACGTTACTTTGCTCCGGGGCAAACAGCCACGCTTCCCCCCCGCATTTTCCGGCCCGTGTGATCGGGACCAAGGTAATGCTTTTCTATTATTTCAGTGTTGGGCAAGGTCTCCCTAGCTCTAACCAGCACCCTTATAGGTTACTACAATGTTTACAGGACCAAAACAATTTGTTTTGCTAGTTTTTTGTCACTTTGTATTGTGTGCTGTAGCTTTGTTGTTGTAGGTAAATTCGAGGTCAATGCCTTAATAATGATAGAAAAGCAAAAATCCAGAAGCACCAACAAAATATGTGGCAGGGTAGGAGCTTTTGTGAGTCTCTGCTCACTTCTTCAGATCCCCTGTCCCAAATTTTGTGAGTCTTTAAGGTGCTACTGGACTCTTGCTCTTTTCTACTGCTACAGACTAACACTTCTTAATCTTAATAATGATAACTGTGAATGGAACTTCCTTGTGCAGAGGCAATCTGCCTCTGAATACCATGTTCTTCTGGGTCAGGGAAGGTGAACGCAATAGTGGAAAGTTGTTGCCTGCATGCAGCTTTCTGGATGCATTTGTTTGCCTGGTGGTGGACTCTGTGGGACTTTTTGTCTGATCTTCTTAGGTACCCTTGAAGGGGTCCTTAGTTCTGCCTGTTTTCCACGACACGACTTAAACTCTGGGGCACCCAAAGTAATGCAAGTTGAGAATACCTTTGAAAGCATGCAGTGTGCCAGAGAAAATGAAGGTAGTTATTGGGAGAAGGGGAGAGAAGAGTGGTCCGTGGGTCCCGTGTAAAAGTGCCTTTCATTCCTGAAGAGCCACAACCAAGCTCTTGTTTCCACAACACATAGGCATGGGAGTGAGACTGAGGACTTATTTATATATAAAGGACTGGTTGGCCCTCCATTATGTGTTTGGGCTTCCCCCGTTAGCAGAACTGTGGTGTGAAAGTATTTGGGGTTTTAAAGTGAGACACAGAAGCTGTTTGGACAAAGGGCATTTCTCAGGGATTCGTTCATTCTTAGGGGACTGTGGTGGGTGGAAAGTGCCATCAAGTTGCAGCCGGCTAGCCCATGTTTTTCTTGTATCCCGTTATTTATTCCTTAACTTGTGTGATCTCTCTAGAGATGGATCAGAGGAGGGCTCTTTTTGTAGCAGGAACTCCTTTGCATATTACGCGACACACGCCTAATGTAGCCAATCCCCCAACAGCTTACAGAGCTCTTCTTGCAGGGGCTACTGTAAGCTCTTGGAGGATTGGCTACATTAGGGGTGTGTCGCCTAATATGCAAAGGAGTTCCTGCTACAAAAACAGTGGGCGGCGGGCGGCGGAGGACCACTAACTACAGAGAACCAGGAGACGACTGGAGAAGCAGTTTTGGTTAAAATAATTTTAACCAAATTATACTGGTACTACCAAAATTCAAGAGAAGGTATCAGGAAAAAAGAGAGAGAGAGACGGTATCAGGATTCTAAATTATATGCTAGGACAATGATTTTTCTTTTGCCATGTGGATTTTAGGATATACTGAGATCTGCTGAGCAAGCCTCTGCTGGGCTGGAAATAGTGGACATTTTTGTTTTGCCAAAACTGTTACCTGGGAAAGGAGCAGTCCTGTGAACTTTGGAAGGCTGTGTACTCCTGTATATAGCAAGGCCCTGTTCAGCAGCTAGTTATTCTGGATAGCCACACTTGAGAAGCAAGCAAAGGGGTGAAGGATCACCATTTAACTGTCTAGGCCACTGTTTCCCAAAGTGGGCAATACCGCCCCCTGGGGGGTGCTGGATTGATCCAGGTAGGCAGTAGGAGCATTGGGTGCAAATTTGTCACTGCATCTTTGTGTCCACTTCTTGAAGGTAGATTTCCAGGGGGGGCTCTGAGTATTTTCTTTCTTTCTGAAAAGGGGGCAGCAGGCCAAATAAGTTTGGGAACCTCTGCTCTAGTCTGTGAAAGTTCTCCCAGCACAGTCTTGTGCCATGCATGCTATTCCGCCTCCACCTTTTTGGCTTCTAAGCTGGCGAGTGTAAAACCAAGGGGCACCCTTTCAGAATTCCATCTTTGGCCCGGGGTGTCCAGTTGCTGACCACTACATTTCTGTTGCAGTCTTTGGTGAAAGAGGATGTGAGCGTTTGAGGTGCACGGAAGTTATTGACCTTGTGGGCTATATGGTTGGGGATGGGGAGGAAGGGTTTACCAGGAATCTGATGTTCAGTTGCTGGGGTGTGTGTGTGTAATAATAACCATGAGTATTTGTGTAGTGGTGGTGGAGGACAGTGTTGTAAAGTTGCAGCCGACGTACAGTGTGGGGTTTCCAAGGCAAGAGATGTTCAGAGGTGTTTTGCCATTGCCTGCCTCTGCGTAGCAACCCTGGACTTCCTTGGCGGTCTCCCATCCAAATACTGACTAGGACCAGCCCTGCTTCGCTTCCGAGCTCTGATGAAATCGAGCTAGCCTGGGCCACCCAGGCCAGGGTGTTTGTATAGTACATTCTTCCAATGCACCAAACCTTTAATATTAATTCTCTCAGTAATGTTCCTTTCCTTACAGCAAACCCTGTAAGGGAACACATGTTTTATTATAAGTGAGAATAATAACTTTTGAGTAACGTTACATATGGGAGGCTGAGAGGCAGTGGCTTGTTTGGTTGCCTGATGGCTTCGCGACAGAGCTGAAATTTTAAAAAATCAAATAAATAAATAATAATAATAAATAAACAGGGGAATCCCACCTCATGAACATAAGAACATAAGAGACGCCAATGTTGGATCAGGCCAAAGGCCCATCCAGTCCAACACTGTGTCACACAGTGGCAAGAAATACCAGTGCCATCAGGAGGTCCAGCAGTGGGGCCAGGACATTAGAAGCCCTCCCACTGTTGACCCCCCCAAGCACCAAGAAGACAGAGCATCACTTTCCCCAGAGCCCCTATCTATACCTTGTGGCTAATAGCCACTGATGGACCTCTGCTCCCTATGCCTATCTAATTCCCTTTTGAAGCCGGCCATGCTTGTAGCCGCCACCACTTCCTGTGGCAGTGAATTCCAAGTGTTAATCACTCTTTGGGTGAAGAAGTACTTCCTTTTATCCATTCTAACCCGACCGCTCTGCAGTTTCATGGAGTGCCCATGAGTTCTTGTATTGTGAGAAAGGGAGAAAAGTACCTCTTTCTCTACCTGCTCTTTCCCATGCATAATCTTAGTAGCTGTACTGCATTTGTTCGTATACTAAAGTGTGTAGATTAGATGGCTTTGTGGAAATCAAAACCTTTAGTGCAGGATAGAGGAAATTATTATAATTATTATCATTTGCTTTAAAATACTTGCCATTCACCTAACTCAACCACCACTAGGGTTACCAGCAATGCTCCCTCTAAGCTGCGGAGTCTTGTGAGCAAAAATTCTACTTTGTGAGCAACTGACATTAAAGTTGTGAGTGAGCGATTTGGCTGCTGCATAAATGAGTTTGCTCTGGAGCCCTCCTTCCTGAGCGAAGACAAAGATGTGTGAGTCAGAGGCTAAAAAACGGTGAGGTGGCTCACACTAACTCAGCTTAGAGGGAACACTGGTTACCAGATGTCCTCTTTTTAGAGGACATGCCCTCTTTTTGGGGTGGCCCATCCTCTTTTGGGCTCTTAAAAAAAATAACCTGATGAAAGGGTCCTCTTTTTGGGTTGGAAGATTAGGAATATTCCTAATTAGTGGCAATTATCACATCTTAAATAGTAGGGGTATTTAAAATGAGATTTGTCATAGTGATCACTTGTTTGAAGAAGTTGGTCAGGAAATATGCCCTCTTTTTTTCACTTTTCAAACTGTGGTAACCCTGATTGCTTATAAAATCAAACCTGGCGTGTTTAGTTCTGTGAC